TGGTTAGGAAAAGGAGATCTACGTGCTGCGCGCCGGTGTTCTTTGATATCCTTAGGGGATATATCTGGAAATCCTCTTCCCCATCCTCACCTTTCTTCAGACCGTCGTAGCCAAAGACGTTGATGTTGAGGTCTGCATTCCGCTTCTCGAATTTATCGATCGCCTTGAGGGACACAGGAAAGTCGATATCGTCACATTTTAGCTCGTCCCCCCACTGCTTGTACTGGCTTACACGGTGTGTCGACTTCTGATCGACTTCCCCGTGATGTAGGGCTGAGAGAATGGCCCAGCGGAAGCACTCCTGATCTTGGTTTTGGACGTTGATGACGGCCTTCTTCTGAGCGAGTGGCTTTGGGAGTGGTATGTAGGAGCTGCCCCTAAGTGGCTTGAATTCGTTCAGGTGGATCTCTAGCTGCTCGATGTGGGCGAAAGTCCATCCACTACCCTTGCGCATATATATACCTTGACATGCTTTCCTTGATCTTCCCTACCATGACCGCAATCTCGAAGTCGAGGTCTGCTGATTCGGTGATGACTGTCTGGGCTGATCTGAAGTAAGGGATAACGTAGGTGTTCCCCCCCAGTCGCGAGATTCGTTTTGACCAGCTCCACTTTCAGCACTAGCTGTACCTTCAAGCCCTTCTTTCGGGTGAGGGCATCTTCGATCGTCCTGGAGATGGTGCTGCGACTTACCTGGAAAAACGTTTCCAAATCATGCTGCTGGAGCGGGTCGATTCTGACTGTGCCAAAGACTCCTTTCAATGCATCGCGTCGGTTGACTACCTTGATCTCGTCTTCCACTGGGGCATTTTCGATATCCTTCTTCACCAGGTCGGTTAGGGCAGCTCTTCCTAGTCGGGAATATTTGGTGATTCCGCGTCTTTTGGCGATGGCCTGCAGCTCCTTCTTTGTGAAGACCTCTTCGCGGGCAAATTTCCGGTTGGTTTTCTCCTCGATTAGTTTGACCAACTTCTCCTTCAAAATCCTGCTGACCCCCCTCAGACCCTCATCCTTAGCTATTCGGCGAAGTTCCTTGATGGTCTCCTTGACCTTAATCTTACCTCCAATGGGGATGTTCTCGTCATCATCGTCCTGTTGACGCGGCTGCTTGCTATGCCTCCAGCAAATCCCATCCATTCCCGGCTAACTCTTGCAAAATTGCCCCTTCTTCCTCTTCAAGGGAACACCGCAGGTTAAGGGTACTTCACCCTGAGCATGCTCAAAGGGCTGATACACCTCTTCCATACCACAGGTTTGGCACATGCGGGTCCTATCATCCATAGGTACCATCATGTGGTTGCTGCAGTGCTGCTGAGGGGTTGGGGTTGGGGCTGGAACTGGGGTTGGGACGCTATCCTCCAAATCTTCCTCATTCTCCAAGAAGAAATCTGCGTACTGATCCATGATATTCTTACCCGATGCCATCCTTTTATTTAATTTAATTTGGGGCACCCTTCCATCTCAGGTGTCTTCCTGTCCCATCCTAGGACTCCTCAGCTTCTCCATCTTCTGTATGAATGCCATGCTTGTATTTACTTTATACTCAACTGGGAGGAGGTCCGTTTGCATTCCGGAGCTGGGGTTGGGAGCCCCTATGCAGAATTTCCCCTTGAAATGGGGGAGTGCGGCAGAATCGGCCTTTTCACACTACTTGTGTTGTTACACCACTGTGCCAATGAAGGAGGAAAGGAGGACGGGTTGGTTGGAGTGTGTAGCGCAAACAAACATATAAAGCCCTGTCACGAGTGCCCAAAACCATTGGTTGTCGATGCCGCTATCTGTCATGTTTGTTTTTTGTTCAAATTTGTATCTTAAATCAGGCCGAAGGTCTTCATTTTTAATCGTTTACCGTGATTTTTATAGCTAGTATTCGATAGGGTGTTTGCTCGTTGTTGAAGGTCACACTTTGACTTGCAATTGTTCACATCTTGTTCCATTCTAGTAAGTTTGTATCAGTCATGTATGAAAAGCAAGTCTATGTCGTTTTTTTTATCCAGTCGAAATGTATTGGAGACAGTGTATATATTAAGGAAGAAATTAGAGGCACCAGTAGTAAGATCATCTAACCTTGTATATTTTTATAAAACTGAAATAAACCAGTCAAACGTTTGTTGTCGTTATAATATACATGTCGCTTAACCTTAAGCACCTTTTAAAACTGTTTTAGTTAGCATATTATGTAGAGAATCATCAATTTTAGTTTAATATCTTAAATAAAACTATTCTAATTAGATATATTTTCAACTGATATTGGACGGAAGATGTTGCCCTTTTATGTAATATAAGTTACGATTATTTGAAAACGCTTATTAAACAGACAAATGGATGCACAAAAGTAAAAATACATGTAGGAGTCACAAATCCGATTAAATACAATTATCTGCCCAATTTTATTGATTCTGTAACGTTTGTTTTCAAATATAACCAACTGTTTACCCAAAATCACCAGCACCGTATCAGGACCCACCAGCACAATGACAGTACCCACCAGCACAGAATCAGGACATGTCTAAACTTAGAAAATGCACAATTTTAATAAATTGCACAGGTTTCTCACAAAATAATTTTGTCGTGTGGATTTGGGTATAGAAAGCGGACTCCAGGAGCATTTTTGTTTTATTTTTTCAGTTCTAGATTTTCTAAAAATGAGCACTTTTGTGTTACGCTTACTGAAACAGTTTAGAGGGTCACATTTGTAATTGTTTGCCTATGAACCCATAAGAAACAAAATTAAAACATCTCAACTGTTTCCTTCCATTTTTTATGCGAGAAAACGTCAAAATTTGTCATTTTCGTCTTTGTTTACATATTTTTAATGATCACCAGCACCAGTCAGGACCGAATCACCAGCACAGAACGTTCTCTCGCAGGACAACCTTACCCACCGTGATTCAGGAAATAGAGAAGTGTAAATATATAATCATGGTTATGGGGTTATGGGGTTGTCTGTTCCCGAGTAGAATATTTCATCAGCTGTTTTCATTGTCTCCGTATACTTTTCAGATACAAATTTAAATCGATCGCGACATTTTATTCACGTATATAAAGAAAGCATTTAAAAAAATATTGAAATAGGAGTGGGTTTCTTTTTGTTCGGATAAACTAATAAAAATAATGATGTTGGTTTATATGAATACAATGAGATATGGTATAAACGTCAATGAGACAGCAACACAACGAGAAGATAAAGGTCAACATACCGTTTTTTGATGATAAGAAGGAGGCATTACAAATGTCATGTACAATTATGTCAAGCTCTAAAGACTTAATCATCCGGGTCAAAATATTGTATATAAGGTTAACAATTCCTTCTTTTACCCGTCGATAAAATTTAGTTCACTTGACATTTGCTAAACGTCTTTTAGCCAAAGATTCTTGATCTCTTAGATACATTTAAAACACAAGATGTTTGATTCATTACATATTTGCAAAGTTGTTGTAGTTTTAAAAGCGAAATATTTTTTCAATAGGCCTCCTTTTATAAATGGTTGAAACCAAATATAATATATCTTAATATTAATCTAAATCGTAGCTAATGTCCCTTTAATTTCAGATTTTGTGAAACTCATACTTATGTTTTTATACACAAATTGTAGAATGAAGCTACGATATATAAAACTGCCTATTTCGATGGTTTTATATCAATTTTTATTTTGAAAATGCATACGCTTAAATTGCATTGAAAAAAATCCGCGAGAGAATTAATTTGAATCTCCGTCTACAGCAACAGTATTTTCTGGAAAAACAAATTTGAAAAGTCTATAATATTACTGAGAGGAAAAAGTCGGGGATTACGGTACCTTTTACATTTTTACAAAGGAATTATGTCTGAAATAAGATGAAATAAACGTCTTGAAAGACAAATATTTCGGAACAATGAATGGCATTCGTTGGTGTTATATCTTTATATTCTCGTGTCGCTGTACTTCAAAGATATTGGAAGTGTTTCCATATTGATAGAACTTTAGTATGTATTTTTTATATGAATTAGATTTTGAATAAAACAACATATTCACCTGCTGAAAAAGTATATACACCCCGTAAAACGTCGCGTGCATTTACGTGTATAATTATGGTAAAATTGTTTGATGTACAATTGGTTTTGGTACATAATTGTCATTACATACGTCATGTTTTCTCTCGGAATACGGAATGAAACAATTACTGTCTTTTGCTTCGGTAAATATGTATGATATTCACTTTGGCTGTTGGCCTCAGCGAATACAAGTTTTTCAAAGGTCAATAAAACCATATATATTTACCTCATCAAAAGACAGTAATTATAATAATATTGTTTGTTCGCGTTTTATCCATGAAAATTTCGTTAAAAGGTAAATATTGAATTCATCAAAATATTTTGGCGCATGCCTACGTAAAAATAATGCCGGATATTTATAAGAGAGGTGTCTAAGTGACGTATTATCCAAACATAGTTAATTTCCCCAAATGCTTTCGTTTTCCGTGTTTCAGTGGAGTACAGTGATGTTTGAAATGGTAGATTTATTCTTCATACTTGCAAGAATTATTTTAAGAAATTTAAATTTTAGAGTTTATTGAGTCTTATTATGCAGGCTTTAACTCACTGAAATAAAAAAAAAATAAAAATACTTAAATAAAAAATTGCTATTTTGTAATAATTAAGGTTTATAGAACAGCGACATCACACTCATCATACAGAAGTCACTGTATTTACTTGGTCTATCAAGGTCTATCAATATCAGGCGTAAGCTTGGAATATTCTCACCCATTGCCTGTACTCCCTATAAAGTACAAAGTGATTGTTGAGTCAATATAAATTCAAATTAAATTTATAATATATGATACATATGACATTAATAACAACGAGTACTTGTGAAAACGGAAACATTTGAATTAAATCATCCAATATTCAATTGATCCACTTGAACAAAGGAAATTAAAAAAAAAAAAAAACACTATGCTCTATTGTTCTAAATTTATATCGAAAATAGAATTTTCCAAAAATTGCCTGGTTACCAAAAATCAGTGAGAAATAAAATGGCGTTTTATCTTTCTGTGATGACATCGTTTAACAATATATATCTCTTGTTGTGCTTTCTGATGTGGATCCCGTTCTGTAGAAGTCTCGAAGGACAACATGTTTGTAAAATATTTAAAGAGTAAGTGGTTTCATATTTCACTGATCGACAAATGTATAAAAACAGAACAATGTGGTATGATTGGAAATTAGAAAACTCTCCACCAGAGACAAATTACGTAGAAGTTAGCAACTATTTAATATGGTATATGTATAGATTATTGTACAACTGGAATAATTCTGAATTGGTCCGTGTGGTTAATATATATCTGTCATTGTGCGGCTGAAAAAGAAAAAAAGGTAAATAGCTTAGGCACCGGAAAACAAGTGGATTGTGTCCGAAATTTAGGTCACGTACCATCCAATCCGAACAATTATTTATCGGGTTTCTAAATTCTCAAACACGTGAAGTTCTGTGATTACTTTACTTGAACATATAGGACATGCCTGCATATTTAAAAAATCATAGATGCACTGGTATTATTGTATGAGCATAAATTGGTAATTTTGACTTTCTATCTTTATAGTGGTGGTTGTTTTTATGTGCTTCGTTCAGATCCGATGAGTCAATCCTTTTCCAACTGATTGTTACAGCTTGTTCTATTGTTGTACTTTTACACCGATGTCCCAAGTTAGGGGTAGGGTGAGAAACTCACCATATTTTCAAAGAGCTTGTCCCAAGTCAGCAAATTGTATTGACGTGGTTGTTGTTCATTGCTTTCTTTCATATTTGTCTTTCGTTTTTACATAAACCAGGCCGTTGATATTTTAGTTAAAATTGTTTTCCTTTATTATTTTATGTCGAGGCCTGTTAAATCTTGCTTTACGGTATGGGTTTTGTTCATTATTGAAGGGCGACGATGACATAAATCTGCTTACATCGACGTCATCTGGTCTCTGGTGGATAGTTGTCTCATTGCAATCATACCACATCTTATTTGTATACGATTCCTAAACGAAAGAAGTCGGTAGACCAATGAGTCAAGAAGATGTATGATTACATGTAGATTCTATAACATTTTCATTTGTTAAATATACTTCATAGTTTAGACACGTGTCTGTTTTTAAATACCGGATATTGACCTCTTAGACTAATAATGAATAAGATGAGGTTTCATGTACACATAAACACTAAACTTGAAGTTTTTCAACTTACAGTGTATATAATTTATCAAACCTTATATAGCCCATTCTCTCTCTCTCTCTCTCTCTCAAAAAAGAAAAAAAAAGCAGTGACCCAAATAATTGATAAAAAAATATACCAGTTTCTGTAATGCAATGACAACCAGTTGTATTTTCTGTTGTTGTTGGATTGCTGTTTTTAAGATTTATTTCTAAAATTTTCTTTTTAAAAATTACTCACTTTAAAATTAGGAAAGGCCATTATAATCAGTTTGCTCTAAACCGAATATGAAATATAATCTTAACTCCTATACATTTCTAGGAATATGATTGGTTAAAAGCAACCGCGTGGAGACCGTGTATATTCCGTTATATAGATACAATGGATAAGCGTGGATTCTTGAAAAAGAAACCATGAGCCCGGAGGGCGAATGGTTTGTTTTTAATGAATCTACGCTTATCCATTGTATCTATAACTTAAACTATTGTGTTAATTTCTTTTCAAAATTAAAGCCTTTTCTTAATTAGAAGGTATTGTAAGTGAGTTTAAATAACCATGTTATCGTGTCCAACGATGCATTGATAAATCTCAGATCACAATTAATTGGTTAACAAAATACAAATATAACACTTCTACCTTTAAAGATCTTTAAATTACCAGGCATATGAATATTATCTGTTTATACAAAATATTCGAAATTATTTCTAAGAAAATTGAAAATGGAAATGGGGAACGTATGAAAGAGACAACAACCCGATCAAAAAGCATATATAAAGTATATATAATAATTATGTTACCGAAATTTGTCTAGCACTGTAGGCACATCACGATTTTCTCGCATAGGAATTTGCGAACAAACCTTTGTAAAATTATGTAGTAAAACAGACGAAATCATACTATATTTATAAAACAAAAATTGACAAATAGAATGTAATCATTTTTGCTTCAAACATGTGAAATAGCCAATAATAATTACAAAAAACGGTAGAACTCGCTATTATTACAAAAATATCCACTATAACATGCAAAATTAGAAAACACCAGGATAACTTAAGAATTGGAACAACAGAGAGAATACAGGGATTCGAACCTAAACCGACAAATCCCTATCTTTAACTCATTGATTTTAACCATGCTAACCTCGCGGCTACCAACTCATACTATACGACTGCCTATTGTGTCTATATAAAGGTACAAGCCCTGTGTGTCCGATGAACCGATGTATATCAGATGTTCATTTAAATATATAAAATAGACATCTATAGTGTAACCCATTGGTAGCCGAGAGGTTTCGTCGATGTGTTGATGTAAATCACACATAACAGATTTCAAGGATGGGTTCGATTCCCAATGAAGGCATATAAAAATTGCAAAAATTAAAGGTTAGTTTTTAAATTAATTCCATTAGTGAACAGAAATCAGTAAATTAGCCAATTCAAACTTAATGAAATTAGGCACACAAAGGAAACAATTGAATATAATTTGGGGAGTCCATTTCAGTTGCAGATTTAGGAAGCGTTGATTCTAGAAAAAGAATCCACGGTAAATGAATAGGCTGACGTCACCACAATGGTTTAAATATTGGGTTAGTAGGCGGGGCTTATTTCATTACACGGTTATAGTAGTGGTGTTACGTCCCTTTATTAAAACAACACGGTGTTGAGGAACAATCTTAAAGGTTTCAACAGACGAAGAAATTGATGATGAACTATTGAAATAAATTCATAAACATACATTTAAAGCTAACAAGTTGTTATTGTTGGCATTTGTTTTTGTATAGACCAGTGAAAATATAGGTTCTTAATACTAACGGTATTGAAGACTTGATCACTTTGATAGGCCTCTAGTCTAAATACCACATGTTAAGATAGTCGGTAAGATAAATTCGTAACATAGTGTGCTAGTGACCTAATACGATATATATGGGGTCAGTAAATTCCATATATATCGTATTAGGTCACTAGCACACTATGCACAACTAATAAGATTAAACGATATATAATGTAATACATTGTAATGTTGTATAATTATTTGTCTCATATATATTATAATTCAGGGCAACAGATGCAAAAAATAGAAAAGTAGATATCATAGAGTTTTTCTGTTGTGCTGGATATAAAGCTGCAAATAACAAATGTGTTGGTAAGCATTTTGTATTTTATTTTTTGTTGAGGTCTACTAAACAAATACAGATAGAACACTACTTTAAAACAGACATCTATAAAGCTCCTTGAACGTCAAGCGATTGCTGTTAAGTACATCAAAGATCATGCCCCATACATGCAAATGAAATGTTTTGATAATAAATAATTAATAAATTAATAAATTAAAAAAAAAATCAATCAATCAATAAATTAATAGATCAAATATATAGATAAATCAAATGAATAAATACATAAAATTGAATTTGAATTTACTTGGTATATTCATGCAATGATAACGTGTTTACGAACGCATAGAATTTAATTATAAATGAAAAAAATAAACTGCAAAAATGTAAGAAATACAGAAAATAAATCGATTCACTAAGGAAATCAATCTTTCATTATACTTCTTTATGGCTTTTATAGTTGAGATGTTTTCTCTAATAAAATCACAAGTAGAAAAGATGATAACAGTCCTAGTTTAGCTACAAAAACAATCACCAGTCTCAAGACAGCGAACAATAAGCCAGAGAACAATAAGGTGTATCAAGCTAGCGAACAATTACCCAACGAACAATAAGAAATACGCACCAAACTGATCACGCCTAAAAACCGAAGACTTATATTATCATAAAACGTCATTTGAAATCTGATGACAATCATTTCCAGTAGAAAGACGAAATGCTACACATTTCACAAAGACAAAATTGATTTTTTATTTATATATATACAGTCCGCCAAAAGTTAAGCACCACCTAAATATAACTGGCAATATTTTTTTAACTATTGCGAAAAAAATATTTATGTTTGGTGTTATGAATTGCCTATAACATACACTAAGAAAATTCATTACGACCAAAAAAAGTAAACTCCGATCAACACGCCAAGCAATTTTTTATTAAAGGTCATCCGCACTTTTCGAATACACTGTTTCGATGCCTTTAAATCATCTTCCTACTGCCCCGCGTATAGGTGAAATTTGACCTTCACCAAGTCACTGTGAAATATGTCAAGGGGTAAGTTATATGTGACTGAACCTTGACAAGCAATTGACATGTCAAATGCCGGTAGGAACACTAGTTGCATAGGTAACCATTTCAATGTTAAACACACCGTCATTGTCAGATTTTTACAACGTCCTGTAGGAACTGTAAATGATAGACCAAGGTCCGGAAGACCCCGTTTAACTACCGATCGTGATGACGGACTCATTATTGGTTGCGCTAAAGCCAACCCATTTACTCCTGCCCCACAACTTAGACACCACTGGCGTCAAGGTGGTCATGTTAGTGCTCGAACATAGGTCCGTCGACTTTATAGATCAAATTGAGAATGGAAATGGGGAATGTGTCAAAGAGACAACAACCCGACCATAGAACAGACAACAGCAGAAGGTCACCAACAGGTCTTCAATGCAGCGAGAAATTCCCGCACCCGGAGGCGTCCTTCAGCTGGCCCCTAAACAAATATATATACTAGTTCAGTGATAATGAACGCCATACTAAACTCCAAATTGTACACAAGAAACTAAAATTAAAAATAATACAAGACTAACAAAGGCTAGAGGCTCCTGACTTGGGACAGGCGCAAAAATGCGGCGGGGTTAAACATGTTTATGAGATCTCAACCCTCCCCCTATACCTCTAGCCAATGTAGAAAAGTAAACGCATAACAATACGCACATTAAAATTCAGTTCAAGAGAAGTCCGAGTCTGATGTCAGAAGATGTAACCAAAGAAAATAAACAAAATGACATATAGAGGCTACCTAAGAGCACGTCGTGTTGTCAAGAGACCTGCCCTAACAGCCAGGCACCGTATAATCAGGTTTCAAAGGGCTAATGACCATCGACGCTGGAACTTGAGAAGCTGGCAAAATGTTCATTGGTCAAATGAGAGTCAGTTACTGTTACGACCAAAAGACGGCAGAATACGAGTTTGCCGTGGAAATAAATCTGCTAATGACCAAAACAACATTTGCCCAACGACTGCATACGTTGCTGGTGGTGTTACAGTATGGGGTTTCTTCTCATACTGTTGTAAGGTGGGTATGCATATTCTGCAGGGTAACATGAACGGACAGACATAAAGGGATTTGGTGCTTAGAAACATTAAAGTCCCTCATTTTGATAATCCTCCACTTGCTTCAAGACCCTTGTGCATGTACGACAATGCTAGACCACACAGGGCAAGGATTGTAACCGAGTACAAAGAGTACAAAGAGCAAGAAGCCATTGACACTATATTTTGGCCTTCCATGTCTCCAGACATGAACCCTATCGAACATGTCTGGGATGCCATTGGCAGAAATCTCAATCGCAGAGATCCACCTTTGCAAAATCTTAGCGATTTTAGAAGCGCAATTGTTGCTGAATGGAATAAATTTGCTCAACTAAAGTTCAGAAGGCTTGTACAGAGTATGAGACTTCGTGTTATGAAACTATACCGAAAGAGAGGGTGTTACACATCCTATTGACTCAAATATTGACATTAAATTTGCCGAACATACCAAAGATTAATTGTAGAGACTTTTAATGATAATGGGTGATTAATTGTTGTAAAAAAATAAAATCATAGTGAAACTTAAATTCCGTTTCTGATTTGTGTAATTTTCACTATTTCTATGAACGCAAATTTCAAATGCATAGAACCTGCATACGTGAACAAACTTAAGTCAACGGTTTGTTTATGGTATATGTTAGCAAAATTGCTACATGAATATTTTCTCTTTTTCGAGGATTAACTGATTTTTTTAAATGAAAAAAAAATCGATGCAATAAAAATAGGTGGTGCTTAACTTTTGGCGGACTGTATATATTTAAAACAACATAATTTTTCTTAAAAGCCGAGCATCTCTTATAGGATTTTCAAAATTAATTTTAGCTACTCCTCTCCCTTTTGACTACCCCTAATTACAAACTGCTTGTCTTTATAATAATGAAAAACATAATACAAGTAGACCATACTTATCTTGTGTAAAGATGAAATTAAATCTACATGATGATACATACCGTTTTTTTTTAACGTCAAGTACAGAATTTTGCATCTAGAATTATAAGTTGAAGTAAAAGCTAATAAATATCCACAGTTTTCGTTTTGGTTCGATTGAACACTTGCAATTTATTCATTACATTTCAATAGGAAATGTGTTTTATATGACAGTGAGACCCAAGTAGCATGAACTATGAATTGATATGAAGATTTTAGCTAATTTAACCGATAAAATGATCAAATCCAAGATTATTACAGCTTTTCAAAAAAGGCAAGTCCCTTGCACTGATTCGAATTAACAAGAAAAGGGTGGAATCGCAACAATACGAAGTATTTCAGTTTAACATTTATTTAGAACAATAATCGGGGAACGGTTCAAAGGTGGGGTATGGTGACCCTACCCCCTCCCAACTTTAATTCATTAAAAAGTCCCTACGGCAAAGCTTTTGTCCACACTAGGTACAAATGATAGGCAAATGCCTAAGGTTTCCTGGATCTAAAGACCGAGGTGGGTAAAGTTACGGATCGTCTACAACTGATGTCCAAAGTTGGGGTATGGTGACCATACCCCCTTCCCAACTTTAATTCATAAAAATGTCCCTACGGCAAAGCTTTTGTCCACACTTGGAACAAATGATAGGAAAATGCCTAAGTTTGCCTGGACCCAAAGACTCAGGTGGGTAAAGTTACGGAATGTCTACAACTGAGGTCAAAAGTTGGGGTATGGTGACCCTACCCCCTCCCAACTTTAATTCATAAAAAAGTCCCTACGGCAAAGCTTTTGTCCACACTAGGTACAAATGATTTTCTTTTCTTTTCAAACGCATATATAAGCTAGAAGATTAAATTTTATCGTTACGCTAGTTTAGTATGAACTATTGTTATTAATTGTTTCATTATTATAAAGACGCATAACCCATCTCTAATCAGAGAACACTAAAAAGAGAAGGAATTTTAGATGCCCGGGTTTTAAAAAAAAGTTGTATTAAATAAACAGATAACTAATAAATTTTGTCTTTTGTGAAAACGAATTGCATTTCGTCTTCCTACTGGAAATGATTGTCATCAGATTTCAAAGGACGCTTCATCTTATTGCAAGTCTTCGGTTGTTAAGCATGATCAGGTTGGCGCGTTTTTTTTTATTGTACTCTGGCTTGTTGTTCGCTAGCTTGATGCATCTTATTGTTCGCTGGCTTATTGTTCGCTAGCTTGAGTATGGTAAAATAATCTATACAATCCTTCAGAAAGACTGGTTAAATTTTTGTCAAATAAATATGAAAATAAAATGATGCATTAGTGCATATCATTATAACCTAAGTTTGAATTCATTTTCATGAAATAATTATCAGGTGCAATGCCAAAAATATCAGTAAAAATTAAAAAAAGAGTGTTTAATGAAGAGGAGAAATATGAGAATCTGCCTTACATATCTTGTTGCCCTGTAACAAGCTGAGAAAGGATATTGCTCAAATCGTTATAATATTTATAGGAAAATACTTTAAGTTGGGCCAAGCTTTTGGAGTTCGTCCTTCAAATTCCTGAATTCCTGAAATTTTTTTCAAAGAGCGAAGTTAAATGTCATATATTTTTCTAACTTTATATCGAATATCTTTGCAGAATGCAGCGACTGTACTCATATAGACTGTCCACCAGGATTCTGTGGAGAAGGATGTTTGAAGCAATGTGAATGTACAATAAATGCTCATTGTCATCCTGAACAATGTTGTGTGTGTAACAAAGGTTTCTATGGACAATCATGTGACAAACGTTAGTTGTTTTTCAATGCATTGCTTAAGTGTTTTATTTTTTAAGAACAAATAATTGTCTTATTATTCACTGTATTTTGAAATAAACAACTCCGCATTACCGATACCAGGCACGTACTTTAGAACCCTCGATGCGAGCTTTGTCTGCATAAAATTTATAGGTGGCGCTCGAATCAAAACAGTCGGAAGACGAATGCCAAGTTAAAAAGCATTAAAAAGAAAAAATGCCAGAGGTGGTTAAGGCTTTATTTGCATTCTATGTAAATTCGCTCATCAAATTAAACATCTTTTGGAATTAGGATTATTTACTACAAACTAAAACCTGCAATGAATACATTTATTAATATAACTGAAAATTTGCAAATCGCGAAGAAAAAAATGACTAAAACTATCAAATAATATGAATATAGCGATAAAGAAAATCAAACGTTTCTTAAAGATAAAAAAAAAAACATGTGGTAAAAGTAGATATGGCAACAACCCAATGACACAAGTGACAAATTATATTTAGTAACATAGTAATATTATTTTAAACATAATTATTCTATTCTGTACGCTTCTGACTGTTTACAGCTTGTGTGGGTGGAACTCATGGCGAGGGTTGTATGCACACTTGTTTGTGCTCAAAGCATTCTACATGTGACCGGTTTACGGGAAAATGTATATGTTTTGATGGATGGACAGGAGATACGTGTACAGAAGGTATTTATAAGTTTCATGACTGAATGCCTTGGGGGCTTTTCGTTTTATTTGCTGATTCAACTTTTTGGTATTCAGAATTTTTTAGATCATGGAAGACAGAGTATAGTAATATTGAAATTAGATAACTGAAAACGCTATTCGATGCAAAATCATAAAAAATAATTTCTATCGGATAAAACACCTTCGGTCAGTTTCCGCAAATACAAGATACACATGTATGCATCTTTTTAACGCTCAATGATATTTATTTAAAACCGTTTTCAATTGATGGCGATATTTTATGACACCTATGAAAAATAAAAGGAATGTTGTCTCTGACTGAGATCTTTTTTTTATTTTGTTTCCTTGTTTCGTTGTATATTTGTATTGTTGATTTTTCTTTATTCAATCACCAGCAATGACAATGCATTCTTGGTAAAACAATAATAGCAAGCCGGCATTCTCACTACATATGTCTTCTCCTTTTTCTCTTTTCAAGTATGTGGTCATCTTGTTGATTACTTAAATGTGCATTTTTTTTATTGTGTTTTACTAATAAATATTTTCATAGTGTTTTCTCACGTTACCTGGAAGTTTGTTAGCGATAATAATCGAAAACCATTACAATATTTGCAACTTGACACGTAGATTTTGTTTTTTTACAGAAGGTTATTCGAATGTTACATGCTCACAAAACTGTAATTGTCGAGATACAAGATGTTCAAATAATTCAAGTGATTGTGAATGTCATTTAGACAACTTAACAACAGCAGAGCCTGGAACAGTATCAGGTATATCTGTACATAGGCGGCCTCTTTTTAATGGAATATAAACATATTATTGACATTATTATGTATCCATAATCTTTATCAATTCCAGAAAATCTGGCATTCACAATGCGTGAGACTTTATCCAATAATCATCGGCAAACATGCACTGATGATTCCCAGACATGAATAGGGATATATTTATTAGTGTAAGATAAAATTCATTGTATTTAAGAAAAAAGGCTACAGCTTAATCAATTTCTCCGATTTGATATGATCACACAGTAAATTCATATCAAAATAGAATAACTTGTATTTTAGTTTTTTTTTACGATATTGTCTTTCGGTTATTGATCTTTAATTTTTTATTGCCTAAACGGTAAAGCATGACACATTAATACTTGGCCATGGTTATCTTAAATAATATGTTAATGTTACAATCATGACAAAACAAGTTCATTTTATGGACATTCAAATTCAGAATATATTACGATAAACATAATTAAAAAAATTACTGAGAATTGAAATTTTCAGTTCGACCTTAATAAAATTGCTCTCAGACTTATTCACGCATCAGAAAAGTTAACCAGCTCTGATTACGTAGTTACGTTTCATATAAACTACACGTCTAATGATTAAATATCCCGTCTAATTTGGAATATTCAACTCAGAGTTTTTTCAGTCAGTCATTATACAAACAGACCCCCCCCCCCCCAAACTTATTCCTGTGTATGATTATACTTTCTGTTAATAAATAAAGAAAGTAGTTAAAGAAACTAAGTTTCGAACTCCTGCGCGCAAAGTTGACCTTTTAAATTAAGTTAGATAAATTTGGCTATTTTAAGGTCCCTTTTGGTCAAATAGCTCTTCACATGTTTAGGTATTATACACCCTTAGGTTTTCAAAGTGTTCCTGATGAAAGTAAATTCAGAAAAGCGCTTTGGACACAAGAAGTTAATTGGTGGGTGTTATTTTCATTTATCAAGAAGAGATAGTAAAATAGCAAATTCTATAATCCACAACTTGCCTAACAAAATTTTGAAATGAAACTTATTATAATCAGCAAAACCTATTAGAATCAAGCAGTATAGTGGTAGAAACTATGATATATAACATTGCATAACATACCACAATTTGTGATGCAAAAGAGGGACGAAAGATACCAGAGGGACTGTCAAACTCATTGATAGAAAACAAACTGACAACGCCATGGCCAAAAATAAAAAGACAAACAGACAAATAATAGTACAGATGACACAACATAGAAAACCAAAGACTAAGCAACACGAACCCCAACCTCGTAGATATTGATTTGTTACATAAACATAGATATAAATTACAATCAAAGTAAACTAGGTCACTACGTGTTACAAAGACAAAAGTATTTGCATATTAGCTGATTACAATATATATATTGTAACATGTGTAAGAAAAAGACGATATATTACCTTTTTTATCAAGAAACTGATCTTTGAAGCTTGTATGTGTATGTAGCCCTTTGTTTAATTACAGATGCAGAACCTCGTCCTCATGCAACGGAAATCTTCAGTTTAATCGTAATTGTTATAATCGTATCTTGCTTATTAATAATTATCTAAGCCTTTATATCGGTAGTAATATTTATGTCATGGAATGGTAGAACGAAGTTCCGAACAGTTGAAGCTACAACTACAGATGCGACTGGCCATTATGACGAAATAAAACCTTATGACGAAATTTCAGAGGAACAACTTGAACAACTTGAACGCATTCGAGAACCCTATTATTCAACACCATTGGATGTCGTCAAACTCAAGCGAACACACTCATTACCGTACATAAAACCTAACAGAATAAGAGACGCACACATTGTCAGTATACCTGAGATTAGATATCCGAATGGATCTCCGAAAATGCACAAATATCTTTCATTACCAAACCTTTGCAACAAGGATATAATGAAGGCTCCATACATTGAGTTGAACATGTTAAAAGAAGTGAGACATTATAACAAGTTGAAACAGCATTCACACGATCCTACAGGAAGTAGCTATCTTCATCCCTGTAATAGCTTACTGCGACCAGGGATCATCGGAAGTGGATATCTTCATCCTTATACTGCACTTAAAAAGAAAACAGAACACACAGGAACAAGTTTTAATTCAAACACATGCGTCGAACGACCAGTCAGTGGCGAAAATAAATCAAATACGTCTGTTAATAGATCAATCAGTGAAGAAAATAAATCTATTTCGTTTGTTTATAGACCAGTCAGTGGCGAAAATAAATCAAATACGTCTGTATATCGACCAATCAGTGAAGAAAATAAATCTATTTCGTGTATCTATAGACTAGGCAGTGCCGACAATACATCAAATACGTCTGTTACTAGACCAATCAGTGACGAAAATAAATCTATTCCGTCTATCTATAGACCAGTCAGTGCCGACAATAAATCAAATACATCTGTTAATCGACCAATCAGTGAAGAAAATACTGTAAATTCAGAAATTATTGCGATGTTTTTATTATTGCGAAAAATGCGACAGGATAATAATCGCAATAATTTAAACTCGCATTTTGAAATTTTTTATATGAATTAAACAGGATTTTTATCAATATCAAAAAACTTAAAATCGCATTTTATTCTGAAATGACAAAATCGCAATAATAAATGCACGCAATAATTTCTGAATTTACAGTAAATCTATTTCGTCTATTTATAAACCAGTCAGTGGCTACAATATATCGAATACGTCTGTTAATATACTAGTAAGTGGCGACAACAAATCAAATGCGTCTGTTAATAGAGTAGTAAGTGGCGACAATAAATCAAATACGTCTGTTAATAGACCAGTCAGTGGCGACAATGAATCAGTCAAAAGACTAGTCAATGACAAGAATGAATCCGTCAAAAGACCAATCAGTGGCGACAATAAAACGAATAACGTCATTTAATAACATACAGGGCATTGTCAAATAAAATAATATTATTATATTGTTGCAGTTTTGATAATTTTTTCTAGTATATACATTCTTGTGACACCCCATCGGTGTCCCCGGACACCGACATTACATTCTGACAAATTGTACGCAATTTTCGGTAATATATATATATATAACCTTTCTCATCAGAAATGTTTAAACTTATTGAAGGCACATATGTATAATTAGTGGTATGATTATTCGAAAAGCTCAGATTTTTAGTCAACTGTGATACATATTGACATAAAGCTTTAAACGACATGCCTTTAACATTACCAATGGCAGTAAGAACTCACTGGTTAAGGCGTAACATTTATCAAGTGAATTATTTAACAATTAGGAAAAACGAGTCCGGCATATCGTAGAAACTTTAATATGTTTAAGACATATATTTCATATGCAGGTGCTCGTTGGATGTTGCGAATTAACACTCAGTTAAAAATAAAATTAATCTATTACAGTACATTTCTCTAAGAATTGGTAGTGCCATTCCCGATATGCAAGTCAGTATAAGAAGCAGACCGCTCGGTTATTTTAAAATGAAAACAATTTTTTAATTTTATATAATTTATATGTTTTATGATCTGTTGTTTATATTTTTATAATCACATGTTTTATCTTTTTAGTCTAAATAACTCCAATTATATGCTAACATCCTCGTGCAACACAGTTTTTGTTCTTTGTTCAACAATTATACAATTTCCATCAGATTGGTTAATATAAAAAAACATCATACTAGGTTCATAAATCTTCGTTTAACAATATCATAGAGGAAACACAATAAATTAGAAAATGTAAAAGCTCTATCAGTTTTCAATTTGAAAAGGGGTAACAAATATGAGAGATGCTTTTGTAAATCTTGTTCTTTTGGTATTTATTTCAGCCACTTTCGTAATTTCTATCAAATATAATAGCTCTTTTCCACCACGGAAAGCACAATAAGAGGACCCTGTTTGTACATTCTATTTTCCCCATGGAACAAAATAAAAATAAAATCAGAAAAAACTTCCATAATTTACATGTGTACACACACTACGGAGTTACATAAATTAGAGGCACCAAAAGTGTACTAATTTTCAAATCTCAAAAATCCATTAAGAAGATACAAGTCAAGATGAAATATAGAAACTACCTTAAACACGTAAAAGATTTCATATTTTTAAAGAATACTGTATACTGAAGTATTATCATTTAATCTGTTTATTGTATAATCGGCTATAACTTCGCAGGCATCGTAGTACTAATAGTCATTGATACCATATATTATTGCGTTTCTTTATCGAAAATGCTTTTAATTGAACGTGTGGCTCTAAACACTAAATAACGAAGGTAAATACTCACAACATTAAACACGATACAAGTTACTATTTGTATTTAGGAACCTTGGAAGTCTATAATTTCATATTTTATGTTATTGACCTTTATTCTGATTTTAAATTTTTAACAGCTTTTCCAGGAATAGGGAAATACAAGTTTGACATATGATGAAAAAAAAAAACACTTTTTTTTCTTCGAAAACCCTTTGGCCTTATATTTTATTTGGTGGTGAAACGGTGGTCATTAAATGTTGACACTAAGTCTTCAGATTCAGATACATGGTGATCTCCTAAACTCCTATTATTTGAATCACGCGTCAAAATTATTCTTTGAAAAACAAATATTTTCGTGAAAAGTATAAATGTGTTGTCGAAAGTTAATCAATACTATATTTGATGCATTTATTCATTTTCGTAGCATGTGAAGATGGGTATGATGGACAAGGATGTAGCAACAAATGCATGTGTCAGAGGGAGCAGCAGTGTGATCAAGTCACAGGCAACTGTTCTACTAGTGTGAACAAACCTGGTAAGCCTCTGTTTGACCAGATTGTAATGCATAATTTCTGAGCAATATAAATTTTTGAGTAACGTCACATTGAGGCCAAACCATGCAATTATTATTTCGGCGAAGAGCACATGCTGGTATTTTAATTTTGTGTAAAATGTGGATATTCTAAATGAAATGTGATATTGATTGATAACACTTTGTATTTTCATGGGTGAAGCATTCATTACAACCCCGTTCGTTGTACATCACCTATCTTATTTGGATAGGTACCCACTGATCTATGTAGGGTTTTGTATGTTTTGTCGACTGTTTTTTTCGTCTTTTCTGCATGCAAGTCATAGCATAGTCTATGTCCTAATTTATGTTGGAATTTGCCAAAAAAATGGTGTTTGATGTAACACACAGATTTTGGGTTTGTTATTTTTTGTTTCCAAATGATGCTTAAATGTTTTGAAAATTAATCATATTACTAAATAATCACAATTTCCGATTTGAAAACCAAGGATGTATAAAAACTGGAGAAGCTTTATGAACAAAAAGGACTTTAAACGAATAACAAAAAACCGTATGAGAAAAGTTTTGCCTGAAGGAGCAGGAATGTTTACGTGTTCAAAAGACAGTTTTTAGAAACATATTTATACATTATACTCGACCATGTTAAATTTCGATTTAATTACTTTCTATAAAATTGAATTTATAAAACAACACCTTAGAACATTTGCTAAGCATCTTATTTGGATTTACAAAATGTTGAGCTTTCTTTCCCCAAATGAAGAGTGTTTAAGTACAATAACTATTTAGGTATTTTGGAACCATTGCTCTAACTGTTTGAAACATGCAGTAAACAACATTGTATACTGATCATATCATAAACACCTTTGTGAAAAATTGCTGATGTTCAGATTTATACTAAATTTAAAAATGGTGTCAGTTAAACATGTTTTGCTAAATCAGTAAAATGCAAAATGTCCTGATCACTATGATCAAACTGTGAAAATTTTTGATGAAATAGTTAAAAAAAAGTTCTGAATCACTTTCTTTCTTATTGAAAAAAGCCTTTTACAAAACAAGAAGGCTATATCGATCGTTAAATAACAATTCCATCTTAAATACTTTAATGCAATTGTAGGAAACCAACTTCAAAAGACAGAAGTATTCAAATTAATCGTAATTGCTGTAATAATAGTGGCCGTCGTGATTATAATTCCAGCATGCATATCATTAGTGATAACTTTTTCAAGGAATCGTAAAGAGAAATACAGAACAACAGAACCGATGGGTCATTATGGTGAAATACATTCTAATGATGAAATAATTCTTGAAGAGTTTGAAACACAGCAAGAACCGTTATGTTCTACGCCTACATATGCTAACGGTGTTATGCATCCGCTACAACCAATAGAGCGCAATAGCACGATAGAGACAACGAATATTTATGATGCTTCTACGAGTTTTCATCCAGATAGAGGTTGTAAAATCCACAAGTATATGTCCTTGCCAATCCTTAGCAGCAAGCGCAAGTCACTTGAACAAGATAACAAGCTGAAAAGGTTAAACACGAGAAGTTGCAATCAATTGCCACGACAAACTCTCTATATATAACTGAAAGTGATTACCTTAATCCTTATTGTAGTTTAATACGATCAGCCGTTGGTGGGAGTGATTATCTTAATCCATATACTACACTTCTAAGGACAACCGACGAAGGAAATATCTATGAAAATTAAACAAAAGGAGTCGGTAGACTAACTATTATATAATCTACGTCTGTTAATAGCATTTACAAAAATGAAAGTCAGCAAATCATGAATTCACCAAAAATATTTATTTGTAAAGTAGGTCTAGAAATCTAAAAATATTGACCGCAATAAAGGATTAGGAAGGGGAAAAGTGTTGACTACATTTGTGTGCCTGATAGATTCTGGTTCTATTGCTGTCTGTGTTATGTTGATTTTCCGTTGATTGAAGGGTGCTGCAACATTTTTACTTGGTTATAAAACTTGTTGTATTCGTTTTTTTGTATTACAATTTTTTTCGAGAATAGCGTACAGTTATTTTAAAAATATATAGTTTTAAATTAGACAGCTACTTATACTGCTACTATGTGAAGTGAGCTATCAGCAGTATGCATTAAAAAAAGTCTACTACATTCATACTTTTGACCAAAGTAATATCTTTGCATTTATAATCAGAAATTTAATATTTGTTTAAACATGTTAAAGAAACAAAGCTTACTTTGAATAACTGATGACAGCCTAGTTGGTGAAAATCCTGTCTTATTCCCCTGCCCTTTCCAGCTGAATGTAAGGGCAAGTTCATGGGACAGGACATATTTCAATATTCTGCGTGTGCAGTCAGCAACGTTGACGACTCCTCCAATGGTGCCAAGATGTGTAGTCTGAAAGAGAAAGATAAGATAATAATTAAAACAATGAAAAATTGGCCTACAGAAAGCATCTTTTTCTTAAAAGTAGATTAAATGACTGAATGAAATATTTCAAACTTTTACCACAAGAAAAAATATAATTTGTATCTTAATCAGTGACTAAGTTTTTACGCTTTTCACTTTCTTGTATTGAACCCTTCCAGTTAAGTGAATTTAGCGATTGGGAATGCATTTATCATTGGTTAACTTACACTTTCAATCCAAAATCATGATAATGAAATTGATAAAGACTTCATTTCTGTATGCTTACTTTTTTGCGGACATGTTAATTTGAACAAATAAAATAACACCTTCATTTGGCAAGGTACATGTTCTTTAAGTGTGAAGATCTAAGAAAAAAATACAATTGACAGAGTTCAATGGTTATGCGGTACCTCCAATGAACTGTCTAATCATAGAAGGGTTGATTAAATTTTCATTTTTTTTTTCATGAAACATGTTTGACA